GAACTTGCACATGTTATGAATGCTGTAGTACGAAATTTTATATTGAAAAGAAATTTTGTCTTCTGAATAACTCACACTTCTTTATGGTACTCCTAAAAAATTACCTGCTAAGGAATTGATGTGAAGGGTAAAAAAGAGATTGTAGTGATTCAGTGTGTTTGAATGGTTGAATCTGTCTCCAGAATACTTGTGTATGGAGAAGAAAGCATTATCCATGTGGTGTGGGAGGAAATGTATCAAAAAGGGATGTTTGTCACATGAGAACTCCATTTCTTGCATGGCTGAACATCTTTGGCAGTTTCCTTTCCTTTTTTCACTGCTTTGGTGAGCCCTGCACTGCCTGGGGTTTTCACTCTGTTCGCCTTTAGCAACCGTGGATAGCAGTGAATCATCTTCTTGTTTCAGTCTGCCACCTGAATTAAGCAGAGTTCTTGAAAAAAAATGCATCGTTCCTTCCCCTAAGATTCATAGAAACCAAGTAAGCCAGAAGCTCATAGGCAACTGTACAGGAATTGGGTAATGTTAAACTAATGTCTTTAGGTTGAAAAGTTGATCTTTGGCTGCTTCTTTGTGTTGCTGCATAGATTCTGTCAGACCTGGTATGGTGCAGAAATGCAGAACTCCGATTAAATAGTAAAAACTCCAGTATGGGTGCTACTGGTCAGCAGGAATGCTCAAGATTATGCTATATATTCAAACACATTATAAAATGGGTGTAGATTTTCAAAGTCAGACTGCAAAACCTGTTTGTTAACTATTAAAAATGTTCCTGTCTTTAAAAAATACAGTTTTATTGGAGTTTCTGAGATGATTTTTATTGTAGTTTTTGGAAACCTTTATGCATACTGAGTCTGAAGGTTATGAAGAAGTAGATGTAAAAAATCCAGAGCTGCAGAGTGACCTTTTAAAATTTTTTGCACCTGTGGCATAAGTGTAAATGTGTTTAATAACTTGTGCTCTAGGCACTGCTGTAGTGCAAATGTTTCTCAAAATGGAGAATTGCAAATTGCTGTCAGACAAATGCAGTACATTGGGTTATTGAGATGTTAGCAGTTATTGGTGTGTTTTCCTTAAAAATAGAAAGGCAAACATGTATTTGTCATAAAAATATGGTGTGCTATAAACATAGTTATAGTACAGCCATACAGCATAAATTATATAAAATTATAGGACAGGCATTACAGGGGGAGATAATTTGGGAACTTGAATATTGATGAAAGAGAGTTTTTCTTATGGGCAGCCTCCTCGGAGAGTATTAATTTAGTGTACAGCTTCATTTTAAAATGAATAATATATAAACAAAATAATGCTTGCTTTGCCACATGCTTGTATTCTAGTTATGCGTGCACACATGGTCCACTCTAATTAAGCAGAGCTCTTTATGGTTTATTTATTTGTTCCAGAGCGACTGCTTAATATTTGAGAGAAACAGTAATGATGTCTGACCTTTGCAGTGGCTGTGTTAACGATGAGATGGGTTTTGCAGGAGCCTGCAAGAACAGTAAAAGAACAGGTTAATCTTTTCTTCCATTTGCTGAAACATGCTCAAGAGACCTGAAAGCACAAGTGGAAAAATCTCCACTAGTAAGTGGTTAACGAGTATTTTTTTGTGTTTTCGGGTCTCAGGAGAATGTTACTGACAGGCTGAGGTCAAGGTTTAAAACTTTGTTTCTTTGCATTTGGTCGTAGTCCATGTACCACCAGGGCACTACTTTACTTGGTGAATAGTTGTTTTTTATTCCAATATAAAGAAAGTAATGTAAATTAGATGGACACCAGTCTGGTTTTAAGTTTTACGGAGTATGATTAGGCATGCGTGAGTCTTGTGTGGTGGTCTTCTAGTGAGATTTTCCACTAAACTTCTAAAAATATGTCTTATCTGTAGATGCACATTTTATTGCCTCTCCCCTTGTTATGGCCTTTGCTTAATACAGATTCCTGCCTATTTTTACAAAAACATGAAAACATCCCCTGGGTCTGTGCCATGGTGAGGAGCTCAATGCTGGCAGTTCAGTCTCCCACTCCTTCCTCTTCCTGCATTTCCCTGGTGGCCTCCTCTCCCAGTTCCATGCTCTTCCTCATTCTGTATTCTTTGTGCACAGTTAGTGTCTGATGAGATTCTAGGGTTTATTTCTGATAAGAGTTAAGTTTATTGCATTTCTTGTTATTTACTTATATATGCTAATACCATAGATTTAAAAATGCAGAAAAAGAAAAAAAGAAATGGAGAAACAGATGGATACCTGTGAATTCAGATGGTAACAGTGCTCTCTATAAAGCAATGGAAGTTAAATGTTTATTGTATTTATAAAAGGATTTTGGTTGATACAGGCACTTCTGGGTGTTATTAGTAAAAATTATGTTTAGTTGACTTCTGCATAAATTTCTTACGTTGTTCTGTGGAACTCTGTGTATGTGTACATGCAAAGTTATTATTCTCATAATGGAAGATGCAATTTGTGGTCTATTCAGTCACTGGTGTTTTTGCTAATTAATCATGAATCATCTATTGGAACAGTATCTTTTTTTCTTTAGTTAGGTATGGGTACATCTTTGTTAGAGCTCTGCCTGCAGAACACTTACAGTGCTGCAGCATATGTAATTTTTTTATGAATCAGTATGTCACTGGCTGGCTTTGGGGTCCCTTTGGGATCCCTGAGACTGCTTCTGCAGCCCTCAGTGATGGAGCACGTTCCCGAGCCTTGCCCAGATAGAATTGTGGCTCGTGGTGAGCTCTCAGACCAGTGGGGAAAAGAAACCAGCATATGCAGAAAGGCACAAATCCATAGTTTATTCTATGAAGGCATCCTATCTAGCATATACCCACGGCTATTGTTTTACAGGGGTTTTTATATCTTTTGAGGTTTTTACAGTTTGCAGCAATTACCAAGGGAATTCTATATTCTAACCAATTCCTGAGGGATTTTACATTCAAAGTTGGTCTATGGATATTAAAGAGAATGAACCACTAATATTGAAGATAGATAAGGGTCTAACAAGGGGGGGAAGCTGGATTCCTTTTTGTATTTGTCATTTCACAAGCCATTTCTTATTTCTAAGCTATGATTTTCCAAGGAGCTTGTTTTGAGGATGCAGGGAGACTTTCTTCTTTATGAATGTTTTCTGCTCCCTCCACATCAGTAGGTTTCATATCATAGCTTTTGTTTCCTGTTGTCATTGCATCTATGTTTTGCTCTGTCTTTGTAAGTGTAAAAATCTCCTTTCAGCATTCAAGCATATATGGTGGTTACCTCAAAGTACTGATGCACTGCATAGGTTTGTGCATTATCATGCCTTTAGGGGGGAGCAGTGGCCATTGTCTTGCTAAGGAATGCAAGCTAATGGTATGTGTTTCTTGCAGCCGAAGTGATTGCAGATCTGTACTAACTTTTCCCCTTCTTCCTTTCTTCATGCTGGAAATGCAAGATCATTACGACTGGCTAGGTAGCCTTCCAGGGTTTTGTTTTTGTAAAAAGAGGATGGAGGCTTGGAGAACTGCAGAGCTATCATTCACCTTCTGTTTTTTAGAAAAGATTATTCTTTTTCTGTGTTGCATAGTAGATTGTTTATTTTATTAATTTTCACCTTCTCCCCTTTTTGCCCAGTGTTTATGTCTGACAGCAGTCAGGCTCCAGTGTATTTTGGGTACCCACATCCCACCAGATTATTTCAGGGAATGGACTGCTGGAGCAGCAAAAGAAAAAAAAATGAGATGGGGAGAAAGGCATTTTCTGAAGCTGTTTATGTTAAAAATATCAGTGGAAAATAACTGCATAAAGTGGTTTTTTTTTGTTTTCTGCTCTGTTACTTCTGGTGGTGTAAGAGAAGAGTGTTTGGTTTGAACTTTACATAATGAGTGTGAGTTACGGGTTTTTGAAGTCGGCTGATGGTGAAATTAGGAGAAAACTGAAGCTAATAGGTACATTAATCTGTTCTGTTAGGGTTCCATGTCTTGTGATGGGGCAAAGCTGCTAGTAAGACATTTCACAGGGACAGGGTTGCACTGGAGATGTGACCAGCTGAAACTGGCCCTGCAGCCACCTCCTGTCCCTGCTTGGAGCTCTGGAACAACCTGACCCTCTTGCAGCTGTGGCAGGGATTAGGAAAATGACCCTGTGGCTGGTGAGGCAGGCGATGCCCGGTGCCACTCTGACTGAACTGCGAGGGAAAGGGGGTTAAGCTGGGATAATATTCCAGCCTCATCCTGGCAACTGACAGCATCACCTCCGAGCCTTCTTGCTCCAATTGGCTCCATGAGAGCAGGAACATACAAGTTTATGCCTCTGACCTTATGTGAGGACAGCATGCAACTTGCTGGTTGCTGCCGTGTTGCCAGGACAACCTTTGTATTTATCATTTATTTCGAACTTCAGTCTGATAAGTCCTCTGCCCTGTCCATGCTGGAATGTTCTGTTCAGCACTGGTGGGTTTCAGATGTATCTTGTGTACCAAACTATTACTTATACAGAGAAAACATCTTACATCCCTCTACCCAAAGTCATTAGAGAGACCTCTGTCTTGAATTTAGAATTTTAATTGAAGTGTATCTATGCATGTCCATATGTATGTATCTGTCCATGCACAGATATTAAATGTTGCACTTGTTTGTGCATTTTATGTTGTTAATGGAAGGGATATTAATGTTCTCTAGTTCTACCAGAACAGTTTAAACTCTGTTCCCTCCTTTCCCTGATATTCCCATGTCTTTTGGGGGGATTTGCTTGAATGTATCTACCTGTAATTATGGCCTAAATACTCCTCTCAATTTTTTTTATAAGCATGAATTACTTTTTGCATGTGTGAATAATATATCTTGCTGAATACGTGTGCTTTAATGGTATCTTTGGGAATCTATGTACAATTTAAACCACAAATTGTAAGAGACAGTAGAAAATCTTTGGTAACATTGTTTTGCAGCAGATATGTGTTTTGAAATGTGTCAGTAATTGAAGCTTTTCTGTAAACAGTGACCACATATTTTTTTGTTTTTTTTCATCTAGCTGTCCCATTTCCTCCAAGCCACCGTCTCACAGCTAAGGAAGTGTTTGATAATGATGGAAAACCTCGTGTGGATATCTTAAAGGCACACCTTATGAAAGAAGGGAGACTGGAAGAGAGTGTCGCTTTGAGAATAATAACAGAGGGAGCTTCGATTCTCCGCCAGGAAAAAAATTTGCTGGACATAGATGCACCTGTCACAGGTTAGTGTGGAGTTCATTGTGATGGAGAAGAATGGTTGCTGGGACATGTTTAGTAATGCATTAGTGTATGTGGCTTCCTAAGGCACTGAAAGACAGCTTGAAAATCAGTTGTTCTCTCCAATACTTGATTTGCTCTTTGACTGCTACCACTGGATAATGGAGGCCATTAAGCAGCTTGTACTTTAAAGGAAAGGATTACCTCTGCAGAGCCCTTTCTGTTTCTAAGGCAGAGAACATTTTTAGTCTTTAGGAGAAAATTAGAACTACTTTCTGAAACTTGAAAAGTTAGTTGGCCTTTTTTTACCAACTATTAATTCTGTAATTTTATAGATGTTATTTATCATAGTAGGATTGTTCAGACATACAGACATCATTGGGCTCTGGATGTCATGAAGTTCAACAAGGCCAAGTGTAGGGACCTGTACATGGCTTGAGGCAATCCCAAGCACAAATAAAGGCTGGGCAGAAAATGGACTGAGAGCAGAGGTGATGAGAAGGACTTGGGAGTGTTGGTGGATGAGAAACTCAACATGCCTTGGCAATGTGCACTTGCAGCCCAGAAAGCCATCTGTGTCCCGGGCTGCATCAAAAGCAGCATGGGCAGCAGAGCCCATGGGAAGGGTTTCTGCCCTTCTGCACTGGTGAGGAGACCTCACCTGGACTGCTGCATCTAGATCTGGGGCTCCTGACATAAGGAGCCCATGAACTTGTTGGAGCAAGCCTGGAGGAGGTCCATGAGGATGCTCAGGGTGCCTGGATCACTTCTCCTCTGCAGACAGGCTGAGAGATCTGGGGCTGTTTAGCCTGGAGAAGAAAAGGCCTCGGTGAGATCATACAGCACCTTCCAGTACCTGAAGGGGGCCTACAGGAAAGTGAAAGAGGGAATTCTTACAAAAGCATGTAGTGACAAGGCAAGGGGGAATGTCCTCAAACTGATAGCTGGTGGGATGAGATGAGATATTAGGGAGAAATTCTTTACTGTAAGAGTGGTGAGGCACAGGTTGCCCAGAGAATGTGGATGCTTCATCTCTGGAAGTGTTCAAGGCTGTTCAAGGCTGGATGGGGCTTTGAGCAGCATGGTCCAGTGGGACTTGCCCTGCCCATGATAGAGGGGTTGGAACTAGATGATATTTAAGATCTCTTCCAACCCTAACCATTTTGTGATTCTGTGAGGGAATGATAGTGTCAGATTTAGTGGAAATTTTAATTAGATGCTAAGGAAAATAAGAAGTGCAGAAAAAAATTAGCAGTTTGTGTTGCCTGGAGGATTAATGAATTGTGCCATTTGCAGAGCCCATCCTGCCCTTGACTATCAAACACTACCACCCACTCATTAATCCTCAGGAAATGCCTTATTTTTGAATTTCCTTCTCTAATTGTCTCCTGCCTCTGCCTGCATTCTGAATGTATGAGTGCATTTGCTTGCTCTAATGCGTCTCCTCCCATATTTTATTGTTGTTGTTGGATATGATTGCATTTTTGACAACGAATTGATCTGTGGCATAGAATGTTAGCTTGGGGGAAAAGATATCCAATTCTAGCCTGTTTAAACTATGAAGCCAGAGTATAAAACTTGGTTTAAAAAGTCAGGTTCTTTTGTCACTTTTGCCTCTCAAGACCTCTGATAGAAAGTACATGAAACGGCCATTTGCTGCAGAGGAAAGGTTACCAGTTTTTATTAGCAATACTGATAGCAGTCATCAAAAACTACATAGAAATAATAAAACCTTCATTTTCAGGAAACCTTCTCTGAAAGTGAGTATAGTTTCTGGACTAGAATGATGCACAATTTATTAAAGTTTGTAATTTAAAAAATTGCATCCAACTAGAGGATTGTAGCTTGACCTGGAGAGGTAATGTGTATCATTTTTTATATAATAATTAGCTTGTCATACTGCTGTACAGTTCTGATAGAAAAAATGTCAATCATGTTGCAGCTCATGGATGAATAAAGAAAACAGAATGAATAAAAGGATCCTTAGTTGACTGAGAATAAAGTTCTTCAGTTTTGTTTTTTTTTGACACTTCAGGATAAATGGAAGAAGTTGTAGAAGTGCAGTACCCTTGTCCATAACTGAGTGGCAGACACACAGAAAATTCTACCTTTTTATGGATTTTTTGAATGTGATTTTTACTTTTTAAATTTTCTTTCTTTTTTTTGAGAGATGTAGACTGTAGGAGGACAACTCAGGTATGTTGTGTCCCAGCTGATCTCCATAAGCCTGTGTTTAATGTTCTCTCTCTCTCTCTTTTTAATTTTTCTATTAAAATTTTTTTCTGAAATGCATTTGAAGGTGTTGGAATGGTTCTGAATTGTATTTTGGGGATTAATCTCCTGAAGTTTACCCCATTGTATAACACTGGTATAAGTCTTTGATTCTTTTTTCAGTTAAGCCTACACATTTCTTTGTTCCTGCTTTTGAAATTATTCTCACGCAGTGATTGTGATACTGCAGCATTCTTCAGGGTGGCTAGTAGCTACTTTCTTTTAAGCCAGCATAGGAAAGCTGGGCTCCTGCTGTGTGTTAGCAGGTAGCTGAGAAGTGCTAATCTTCTGTATGAACAAACATGAAAGCTGTAGTTATGAAAGTGATCATCAAAAGAAGGAAGAACTTAAATTGTGAGGGGGAGGTTGAGAAAGCTTGTGAGGCAAGTTGTTGTTGGCCTGACAATTTTCTCTGTATGAGTAGTATGACAGCAGGTGACTGAATAAAGAGAATATCAATTGACTGATGATGTAGTGGAAGTGCCAGGTATACAGGCAGTCAGGAAATAGCTATGCAGTAGAGGAAAGCTTTTTTCAAACATTAAGAAGAACAAACAAAGCCACTGATAGAGTGGATAAGAAAATAAACTTTAGGTTTCATACAAGAGAAGCAGTCTTGTTGAAGAATGACAGTCATAAACCACTAATATGGGATTCTTCGTGGAAGAGGCATTCATCTTTTAGAAATATATTCCTGTCATTGGTTTATAAGATGGGGATCATCAAAAAGAAGAAAAATAGAAGAGTGTAACTGTAGAAGTAATAGCATTGTGGATTATTAGAGTGATATATTTGATAAATGTTAAAGAATATGAAGAATATAAAGCCTTGTGCAGCCATCCAATAATTTGAAATTTCACTTTCTTTAAGGGGTGATAAAATTGTCCTCAGAAGAAGTATCAAAGTTCTGTTTACAAGTAAAGTCATGTGCAATGAAGTGGGTACAGACAAAGTGTGAATTTGAGGGAGAAAATGATAATTGGGGTCGAGTCATGCAAAGAGCCTTAATGTAAAATGCACAATCAATTATTTTGCATTTATGTATAAAACTTACTTTATATCTGTGGTTAGCTGGAACCATCAGTGTGATTGCTACTTGAATTAGTGCATTTTCTTTTCAAATTTGGCAAGGTTGTAAGCCTTTTGAAGTATTCCTGATGAACCCATTTGAGAGCATAGCTCAAATTCTCATCGTTTGCTCCACGCCGTACATGCATGCACAGTTCACTGCAGGTCTGGCTTACAGACAGGGTGAGCTGTTCCTGCAGTTACACTGGGCAGGAATATGAACGCAGCCTGAAATAAGAGACTCCAATGCTCTGCTATCAGGACTCCTCTTGCATCTGGGAAGTGTTGAGGCAATGTTGTCTTGACTGACTTCATCTGTAACCTCTTCGCTTGGAGAAATGCAAACTTCATTTGAAGCTTGAGTGTTTAATGAGGTTGATCTACCACTAGACTGCAGGTGTTCAGTGGAAAGATGTCTTTATGGCAGCCTTAGAATTTCCAGTCCTGTATTTCATAACAGTATAATGACACATGGAGAAATTGGCTCATTTTTAATGTTTGGTTTTTTGTTTTTTTTTCCAGAAGGCTAAGGAAGTATTTCTCTGAATGCCAGATTTATAATTGACTGGGTAGCCTTATTACAGGGGTTCATTACTATACAGAGTGGTTTTGGGCAAGGGATATACACTGCCCTTTCTTTGCATGATGACTGGCTGCATGGTTTTATGAGCTCTCACTTCCAAATCTAAAATATGCTGCTTGGGTACTGACCATTCTTAACTGCATGCCAAGCAAGTGTCCCTTTGACTTCAGTGCATGGGTGACTTTTTCTTTAATATATACCTCCTTATAAATGGCATATATAACTACAGGATAGACCTAGAACTGTAAAGTGCTATATTTATCTAATATCTATCATTGCACATCTTTGCTTGTATGTTTTAGATTATTTTCCTTGAGAATATAGTTAGATTTACAGGTACTGAATGAAAATAGCATGATACCTCTTGCACATATGACTGCACAAGTGAATAAGCTTGTAAGATGTATATTGGTGCTTTCAGAGAAGTCTTTTTTCCCTGTTGATATCTATTTTTAAAGTAATTAACGTGTGCTCTTTTTTTCTTGTCACGTTTGACATATCTCATTTTTTGTGCTTAGTGTGCAGTCTTTTTAGCAAGTTCTGCCCATCAGTATTAACAAGAGTGTCCTCCAGTAAACTAAGAGCACGAAAACCTAACTCATATACATCTTTATAAAACTGTGCTTTTTAGTATGTGTACTGAAATGTAATGTATGAGTATTACGGAGGCAGTTGTCTGTGTACAGATGTTCTTCACTCTGTTTGTGTGACTGCCCCAGCAACAGTGCCCATGACAGTGGTTTCTGGCTTGGTGGCTGTAGCCAGGCTATGCACAGGCACAGGGCCCAGCATCTGTTACTCCTTCACTTAGAAAAAATGGAAAATAGGTGAAAACAGCATATACTTTTGTTCTAAACCTTCACATGCTTAATTGAGGAAGTCCTGACTCTGTGCTAGCCCGTGTGCAGAGCTTTCTGAACTGCCAGGTGCATGCAGCTTGGTAGATGAAGAGAGGAGAGCATAGGGGAAGACAGAATAAAAGCTTATTCTTGTAGTGTAGAAAGTGTTTCTGTGTCTGCAGAACTCCTTGGCCATGTTGTTTTCCTATACTAGTCCTGTTTTTTGCAGCTTCCATGTTTATGTCTGTGGTAAGTGCAAGGAAACCACTGTTGTTTGCAGAGCCTTCCTTGCTATTCTCTTTGCATCACATAATGTCAGATAAGGTGTTTGTATCCAGTAGGTTTGGAAATACTAACCATTCTAAGGGGAAATACACCCACTTGCACTATTATTGCAGTGTCTTTGGGTAAAAAATTCCATTGGCTTGGTTGATGCCACAGCATCCATCTTAAATACTTGAATTGCTTGTAATGTTTGTGTCTTCATGCACACATAGAGTTTTTGCAATTCTAAGTCTAAATTGATGAGGGGGAAAAGGCATTTATGGACAAGCCTGTGTCCATAAATGGAAACTTTTGTGTGTTACAGGTCCATAAAAACTAGAGGGAAAGCCCTTTCCTGCCAGCATGTGCCTTTATGATCTCTAAGGCTTCCAGTTATTCTCTGGGTACATTATTCCATGGAATGGTAGGGTGTCCTGGGCCTGAATTTTTCTTCATGTTCCACATATATTTTTCCTTTGCTCAGTTTCACTCATTTGGTAGCATGGAATAATATTAGTAGGTTGCTAGTGCTGT